TCATACTCTTTAAAAAAATAAAATAAAAATGTTAATCCTCACCTGTGGGGATTCCATTGTTTTTCTACTAAAACAGAAGCTCTTATTAAGAATCTTTAGGGCCCTGGCCAGGTAGCTCAGTTGGTTAGAGTGTCATTCTGCTATGCCAAGGTTGTGGGTTCAATCCTCAGACAGGGCCCACACAAGAAGCAACCAAAGAATGCATAAATAAGTGGAACAACAAAATTCTCTCTCTCTAATCAACCATTAAAAGAAAATTTTAATTAAAAAAATAAAGATTGAAGAGCAGAATAATGTTCACATGTCTTATTGCAAATCAGACTTCAAGCTTAAGGAAATTCACTACTTTGCATGCAAAATGTAAGTGTAGTATATAATTCTAACAATATAATTTTAATATGATCCATGCATTACATTGTCTTATTTTTATCTTTAATTAATTTACATTTATTTTTAATAAAATGTCTAAAGAATTTCAGGATATTTTATAATTTCAGTTTTTCTGCACATAGCAAGGATGCTAACTCGGTATCAAACTATCCAAGTATCTCGGTATCTACCTTCATGAAATGAATAAGAATGGCATATAATTAGACCACTTATGCAATTAAAAATATATTTATGATTAACTACCTAAATTACATTTAAAAGAAAGAAAATAGTGAAAGGGTTACAGGGTGTGAGATGTTGGGCAAAACTATAGGATCTTACATTTAAATGATTTCAGAAACAATTCTCCCCAAATTATCTCCGCCCATAATTTTAGCAGCAAAATAACTAGAGCCATCATGGATAATGGCACTTCACTCGTTTGTTTTTTAACCATGTTTAAGAACATGTTTTAAAAGAAAGGCATAAATTGGGGCTCTGGCTCTGTGTGCACTGAGGTTGGACTTAAAGATGTCTTTCTAAGTTCCTCAAACTTAGTTCCATTGTTCTGGCTCTGAAGTTTCCTCAACAGCGCCTCACTGCTTATGAACTCCCAAATCATGCCCCCTGTCCACTGATCATCAACAGAAAAAGAACTAAGAGTGGGGTCAGAGGCCCTTGTTCATGCATCTAAATTTAGGGCTAAAGGAGGACTAACCTGGGGTCCCATCAGCTTTTGTCCCAAGGTAGATTTTTCTTGGATCCCATTTGGGTCAGTGCTAAAGAGGCAAACTCAGAACCAACAAGAAACAGCTTAAGGCATCAATGGAGATGGTAGAAGCAGATGAAAGTGACTGTTAGCTTGTTGGAGAAGGTCTTCCATATTTTGATGTCTGGGCAAATGGCCTCTATGTGATTGAACTATTCTTGACAATGCTTGCGTTGTGGTCCTTCCAGCCTGCAAACTCTGTAAGAAACACTTCCTCCCATAGAGTAGACACATGCAAGAAGTGAGAGTCAATTAAGTATTATTTGCTCTTTCTGTGTGAAAAAAAAAAAACACAACAAAAAAACACACAAAAACCACCACACACACATTTCTCCCTTATTTCCCTTCCCCCCGCCTTGATTTTTATCAGCCCGCTTTGCCATTATAGATTTTACTTCCATTTCTTCACTCTTTGTCATTTCGGAGTTGCTGATTCTATTTGTGTCTGCTCCTGCTTCGGGTTGCTGCCAGGTGTTCACGCGGAAGCTGGAGGAAGTGGGGCGAGTTCTGTTCCTCATCTCCCTGACGCAGAAGATCCCCACGGCCCACAAGCAGTCCCACGTCTCCATGCTGCAGGAGGACCTCCTCCGCCTGCCCTCATTCCCCCGCAGTGCTATCGATGCCGAGTTTTCCCTCTTCAGCGATCCTCAAGGTACCCAGACAACAGCATCTCCTCTCTCGGGCGTCTCGTGCCCTTGTTTAGCCCGTGGCTGGAGGGCATCTCCGTCAGCGGACAATTCTGTAAGCCAGGGGTTCTCAGCCCTGACTGCCTCCGAATCACTGGCAGGACTTGATCAAACACAGGTTGCTGGGCCCCACCCTCCACCACCGAGTTTCTGACTCAGTGGCTCTGAAATGGGGCCTGGGAACTTACATTTCTGATAAGTTCCCAGGTAATGATGATGATGCTATTCTGGGGACCACACTTGGAGACCACTGCTCCAAGCTGAGTCTAAGCAGCTGAAGGAAGTCCTCTGATGTTGTTAGGTTGACTGAGTGAAGAATAGGTATTTCTAAGAAACTGATGAGGAGGAAACTGTTCTCTCATGTCAGAGAGCAGGACAGTGGTGACCGCCGGGTTGGGGGAGTGAATTTCCTGGAAAGAGGCATAAAGAGACTTTCTGAGGTCCTGAAATGGTCTTGTTTGGGGTGGTGGGTACTTAAGTGTGTATTTTTGTCAAAACGCTTTCAACTCTATATATAAGATCTGTGCATTTCACACTCTCTAAATTATAGCTGAATTGAGAAAGAGAGAGAGAGAAACAGAGACAGGAAATGGAAAGAGGTACATTCTGAAACCTCGCCATGTTGCTCAGTTGTTCATTTGGGACAATTTACTGAAATGAGCAGACTTATGCTCAGTGTCTTCATTGAGACGGAGCAAAGCGACCGTGGAAAGAACTCCAGTCTGACCAGAAATTAAAAGACCAAGCAGTGGTCCCAACCCTGCCATTTTCTTTCTGAAATAACTTCCCTCAAAGCCACAGCTTACTAGGCAGCAACCTGCTGCAAATGTCTCCCCTGTCTGCCCACAGAGCTGCATCAAAGAGGTGATGCTGAGAGGCCTTTGAGAGCCAGGAAGTGTCACGTGAATGCCAGCAATATTGTGCTGGGAAGCCTTTGGGCAGTAGATGGCCACATCCCGAGTGGGAACACATGGCAGTGCCCTCGGGTTGGCTGGCCCTCCCACGCCCACAGGGTCTGCGTGGGGCTAATGTTGTGTCTGCTTTTCTGTTCTCACAGCTGGGAAGGAGCTGTTCGGCCTGGACACTCTTCAGAAGAGCCTGTGGATCCAGCTCCTGGAGGAGATGTTCCTGGGCATGCCCAGCGAGTTTCCCTGGGGAGATGAAATCATGCTCTTCCTCAACGTTTTTAACGGGGCTCTGATCCTGCACCCAGAAGACAGCGCCCTGCTCAGGCAGTACGCGGCCACCGTCATCAACAGCGCTGTGCACTTCAACCACCTCTTCTCCCTCAGCGGCTACCAGTGGATTCTGCCCACCATGCTGCAGGTGCCGGGCTCTCCTCTCTCTCCCACCCAGAGAATTAGCCCGAGTACTGCTCATCTAGCAGGTCTACAGGATCTAC